AGCGTGTACAATGTACACTACTTTCCTCTTTCAAGATACCTTGAAAACATGAAGCCAGGCATAGTGGTGCACACTAGTAATCCCAGCTACTGGGGAGGCTAAGGCAGGAGGCTGAGGCAGGAAGATCATACACAAGGCCACCATAGGCAACTTGGCGAGATCCTGTCTCAAAACATTTTTTAAAGGCTGGGATGTAACTCAGTGTTAGAGCACTGTGGGTTCAATCCCTCTGCATTGCAAAAAAAAAAAAAATAATAATAATAATAATAATAAAATAAAAAAATAAAAAAAAATATTTTTTTAGTTGTAGGTAGACACAATACCTTCATTTTATTTATGTAATGCTGAGGATTGAACCCAGGGCCTCACACATGGGAGATGAGCACTCTACCACTGAGCCCCAGCCCCAGCCCTACATAGCAAATTTTTTTAAACAAATAAAAAAGATGGGCTGGGGATGTGGCTCAAGCGGTAGCATGCTCGCCTGGCATGCGTGTGGCCCGGGTTCGATTCTCAGCACCACATACCAACAAAGATGTTGTGCCTGCCGATAACTAAAAAATAAATATTAAAAAATTCTCTCTCTCTCACACACACACTCTCTCTTAAAAAAATAAAAAATAAAGAAAATCTGAAATATTGGTTCACACTAGAGTCCTTACAACTTATTGATTTTCCCTGCCAGTCATTTGCATTTGAGAAAGAACATGCCCATAGAAAATAATTCTGAACACATCTAAATCTAGACAATGACTCTTGGGATATGCTTATTTGGGGGAAAGCAAGGTCCTGGTAAACGTTCACTTGGGTAGAGCTGGGGAAGGGAGGAGGAAGAACTCAGGGGTAGAGCACAAACTCAGTGTTGGCAAAGCCCGGGGTTCTATTCCCAGCACTGTGTACACATCTGTGCACACACACATACACAAACAAATCTCAGCCAACTCTTTCAAAGGAAGATGGCACGTGAAGATGAAGGCAGAGATCAGGGTGATGTATAGGTGAGACAAGGAACATCAAAGAATGCCCGCAAACCATCAGAGCCAGGCTAGGCACACAGGGCAGATTCTCCCTCACTGCCTCCACAGGACCAGCCCTGCCGACACCTGGAGCTAAGACAATAAATTAGCTTGAGCCACCAGGGAGTGCATGCAGGTGCCTCCAAATGCTGGCAGGCAGCTAAAATGAGAACCGTGGGTATGAGTACAGTGGGTGGAAGCTGAGGTACCTGAATTGCAGTCAGGGTTGACAAGCCCGAGGATGAGGCTGTGTGGGAGGCAAGGCCAAAAGCCCAGCCGAGGCCAAGTCCCCAGTCTCAGCAAGGACATCCATGAGGACATCACCAAGGCTTGAAGTCACACCACCACACAGAAACACAAACAAGGCAAAGCCCACAGTCCAGCAGGCAGCCAGGAATCCTGTGTGGCCAGTCTGCTCCTCCCAATCTCCACAAGTGGCACACGGCACCACCAACAGCAGGCGTGGTCAACAGGAAAGAATATCTAGGGGACAGAATGGAAAGCCATTCTAGGGCAGTCCTAGAACACTAGTCTTAAAAATAATCTACAGAGCTGGACACCTCCCTTCCCTCCCAACCTGCCAGGGGAAAGAACCTGAGGTCAAGGGAGGCCTGGGGCCCTGCAATTGGAAAGCTGAACTCAAGAGGGAAGGGAGCCTTAGGGAAGGGTGAGGTAGCAGGAATCTTCTCCTAACAAAAGCAAGTCATGTACCTACCACCTGGCCAGGTCCAGTGAATGCCTGCTTTTTTCTCTCTTAAAAAAAGTGTGTGTGGGTTCCCTCAGGTGTGTCTCCCTGGGGAGGCTGCCCACAGGAGGGGGAGGCTGAGAGACAGTGCAAAACAATTCCTTTCATCTGTGAGACAGGTATGACCTGAGAGGCCAGCTCTGCATTGGCAATCAAGTCAGACCCCCCTGGCTGGCCCAAGCCTGATGCCAGGCGCATGGTGGGCCTTGCTGGACACAGTAACTGGTTGTTTAATCAGAACCTGGGGAGTGAAGCCAGAACAGGGCTTGGAGATGCTTCCTCTTTGGAGACTCTGTGACCACTGGGTTTCTGGGGCAGCTCTGTGGCAAGCAATCCACCAGGCCAACAGATGCCCAATATCCTGGAGAAGCTGGGCAGGGGGAGGCTGCCAGCCTATCCCAGCTTGGCCTCCTAGGCTGGGGGCAGGGCTGGGGGTTTGCTACTCAACTCCCCAGGGAAAGGATTTGGCTGCTTGAGTAAACCCTTTCAAGTTTCAGTTCCCCCAAGTGTCAAGAGCAGAAAGCGACTTGCTTGTGTCCAATCCTGTCTCTTGGGTCAGGAATGCGGATGGGTGAGTTTCTGAGAAGGGATGAAGTTCTTTAGACAGGCMGAAAGGAAAAGGGGTCTGGAAGAGGCACCGCGGTGGGGGGAGGTGAATGACCAGAACGAGGCGGGGCAGAGCAGAGGCTCTTAGAACAGAGGGGTGGTGGTGGGGAAACCCAGGCAGGACAGAGGAATCATTGTGTGGAGTGGCACCGGGGCCAGAGGGCTTTGCCCTTTGCCTCTCTCCCACTGGGCCTTCCCCAGCTGGGAGGGGAGCTGGGCCCTCCGAAGGCCCAGCAGGCTGCCCTGCCTCCCTTTGCAAGCTCCAGCTGTTTCCAGTCAATCCCACTCCCTCCTCGCCAGTCCTAGGACCCAGGGGTTGCAGCCTGTCCCCCCACCCCCCGCCCTCCCGCGAGAGAAACAGGAAGCCCTGTTCCAGGCGGGATTCATAACCCCGTGCCTCAGTTTCCCCTCTTCACCGCTAACAAGGGCGGCTTGTCAGGCCTGACAGAAGTGTTCTGAGCCAGGAAGCAGAGGCGGGAACCCTGGGCGTTCTCCGCAGTTGGTCCCTTCCAAGGTTGAGATCCTGGGGTGCATACCTTCCTACCCGCGTCATCTAGGCTCCAAGATCCGGACCTGGACCCTAACGGGGAAGGAAAAAAAAGGGGAGAAGGGAGTGGCGGGCAGACCTGGCTCCTGGCTCCCGAGCGGAGACCCTCCTCCAGCCGATGCTCGCGTCCCCGTAGCGCATGACCGCGGCACTGCGGCTGCAGCGCTGCCCTCCCCGGCCTGCGCCGGATTCCCGGGGTCTGCGCCATAGGGGGCCAGGGTGCAGGACCAAGTCTCCGCGGATGCGCGGAGTCAGTGATGACGCCCCTGCTCCTTCTCCAGTTTCTTGTTTCCGGGCGTTTCTCCACCCGTGAACGCGTCGCTGAGTCACCTTCTCAGGGCGCTCTCGGAACGCTGGGGACCCGGCCCGGGGCTGTGCCGGGACCGCGCAAAGCGGAAGCACACACTGCTAGGACGCGTGCGGACCGCGGCTTGGGAAGTCCCATCCTGAAGGCTCCGTCGGGGGACTCCCACGTGTTGGGAAAGGGGGTCGGGCTGGGGGTCCGCTGGAAGAGAAGACACCACCGAGGCGTGCCCCGATTCAGGGCGCCACTGGGCAAATCGGCTCTGCGTTCCTCCCGGGCCAGCCTCTTTAGGAAGCTATAGAAGAGAGGTGTGGGGGTCGGGCAGGGGCCGGCGAGGGACGTGGGCTCTCCGCAGCCAGGGAGTGGCCCGTCTGAATCTCCTGCGGGTCCCCCTCCCAAGTGTGGCCCTACCTGGTCAGGTTATCAGTTCGGCCTTGGCAACGTCTTCCTCCCAGTCTCCGCCAATAACCTTCCAGGGATTTAATTCGAGTTGTTCACGGACACGTTCTCGTCACTTGCCGCGGAATATTTCAGACACGGACACGCGTGCGGTTTGCCAATTGAAGCAGAAACTCCCTGGCGCGTTTGCGTCTTCGCGCGGAGCCAGCGGGAGGGGCGGGGGCGGCGGGGCCACGCCCTCCGAGCTTGCCTCTCGGTCCCGATCTGGACCCCTAGGCCTTCCACGCTGCTGGACTGACTCCTCTCCAGCAGGCGAGGAACGCGGACCTGGACTGCTAGCTGCGGACAGCTTCTCTGGCCCAGGTGAGCCTTGATGGTGTTCCCAGGGAAAGGTTCCAACTTTGGGGGTTGCTGACCAAGCTCCCTCCTCCCGTTCGCGTACTCCGACGCGGAGCCCCAGGGCCAGTCCAGATCTGCTCGGGACGGCGCGCCCGGCTGCTTTGGGTTCGTTGTGGGTGTGTGGCCCAGCGGCAGTCAGGAAGTTAAAAATAGCCCTCCGCGGGAGACCCGGGGAGGAAGAAAGAGAAAGCCCGCGAGTGGCTGGTGAGCTATCCCAGCTCGGGAGAATGGGCGCCAGGCGGGGTCCGGGACTTCGAATTCTGGGTGGGCGTGCGAAGGAGTCACGGCATCCTGGCTTCGAGCAGCGAGGATAGGTCTGCCGGTAGCGCTGGGGGCTGCGAAATCGCGGTGTCCAGGCGCAGTCTAGGGTCTTCCCAGAGCTCAAGATCACACGCCCCCGGTGCCCACWCAAACTCTGGGCACCCAGACGTATTCGCGCGGGGCTTGCACCTCGGCTTGTGCGGCGAGCTCACCTTCACGCGCCGGGGACGCTGTGTCCGCGCCTCGCCGAATGCTCCTCCRGTCCCTCGGCGGCGCCACCTACTATGAGCGGCGGGAGCGAGCATCCGCATCCCAAGACTCTGTCGAGAACCTGCGTGTGGCGGTGGGCGCGGACCGTGCTGGGGGTGGCGTGGTGAGGCCAGGGTTCAGGGCCCGGGTCCACATCGAGCTCCAGTTCCACCTCCGCTAGCTGAAGCAACGAGGGGCGTGGTTAGGCCGGCGCCCAAACAGAGAGCCCTCCCCACGCCGCGGCGCCTCGCAGTGAAGTTGAGCGAAAAGTTTGAGGCCAGAGGCAGCGAGACCCGGGAGTCTGTGCCAGCCCGGCGCTTCAGTTGTCACTCAGATGCGGGGCTGAGCCTGGAACGAGCCTCGTTCCGCCCCAGGCCACTATAGGGAACGGCGTTTTCGCCTTGCCAGCAAACCAGACCGACTGGGTAGGGCCGCCCGCCCTGCCCTCCCGTGGCTGGTGGCTCCTGGGCGGCCCGCCCTCGCGGGGCCCTGGGGAACTGGGCCACGCACCGCGAGGTCCTGTGCCCACTTGCGCTCCGGTAGGGCGGGCGGCAACTGTTGGCTCAACTCTGGCTCGGCTCTCGCGCTACGAACGCTGCTCCCACCAACGCAGCGAGCATCCAGGCGGAGCAGGGCTCTTGGAGGTGTGCCACGGCCCCAGCTTCTCGGGGCCGGGGACGCGAGGACCGGGCTGTCTGGGACTGGGATCTTCGCTCCATACTTTGTGCCTCGCGATGTCCGCTCAAGTTCTGGGATTTTTGCGCAACTGGACTCCCCTCTCCCTGGCAGCCCGACAGGGTGAGGAGCTGGTCCGACAGAGAGAGCCATGGGGCTCTGACTCATCCCTCGGGCCGGAACCCAAAGCCCCAAAGAGGAATGTCCTGGGGAAGAGACCCTTCGTTTCGACGGGTTGGGGACTCGGTTGCTTGGAGACACCSGACGTCCTTCCAGAAAGCTAGGTCCCCACGGGCTTATGGCGATTCAGAAGCGCGCCACTCCTGGTGCGTGGTCCCGGCATCTGGCTGGGCGCCGCCTCCCGCACCAGGAGCTGCTGCCCTGGACTCCTCCAGCGCTGCCTCCTCTTGTCCCGCAGATCTGGCCGCTGCAGGGAATGACGCGGTTACCCCCACAGCCCCGGCTCCGGGCGGGGAGGGCGAGCCCCACAGCCAACCTCGCGACGCCCTCCTGGGCAGCACCGATAAGGAGCTGAAAGCACGAGCCGCGGTCACCGAGGGCAGCGCCGCAACAACGCTGGGGACCCCCTGGCAGCGGGAGCCGCAGGTCGAGGCTATGGATCCAGGTTTGTGGGAGTCTGGGAAGAGCTGTAGGGTTCTCTCCCTCGCTAGAAATATTGGAACTCCGAAAGAGAGGATCTGGGGACTCTGGAGAGAAATACTTTCCCCCTGGAGACTGGAAGCCTACCGGGCCTGAGCCAAGAAAAGGGGGATCGGGGCAGCGCGCCCCACCCCAGAATTCCCCTCGGGAGGTCGTGTCCTCTGGTTGGGCTCTATTGGGTTAAGTACCCGGGTATTGCTGGCGCTGCGTTTCCACCCCACTGCCCTTGTTGCTCTTCTCGGCCCCCTAGTGGCCGGTTGGGGCGCGGCTTTCTCAGGTTTGTTTTTGTAGCGAGTGGCCCCCGGAGCCTGCTCCCCCGGCCTTGCCGTGTGTTGGTGCTGCTGAACCCGCGCGGCGGCAAGGGCAAGGCCCTGCAGCTCTTCCAGAGCCTCGTGCAGCCCCTTCTTGCCGAGGCCGAAGTCTCCTTCACTCTGATGCTCACTGGTGAGTCTCCTTTACACCCGCCGAGACTCGGGCAGCATCCCCTGCCAGAACCAGCCCTGAGAACTGCATGTCTCCTACAGAAAGGAGGAACCACGCACGGGAACTGGTGCGGGCGGAGGAGCTGGGCCGCTGGGATGCTCTGGTGGTCATGTCTGGGGATGGGCTGATGCATGAGGTGAGGCCTGCACCAGAGGCTGGCCGGGGGTGGGGGCATGGGTGGGGTGGGGCTTCCAGGGCTGAGCCCTCATGCCAACAGGTGGTGAATGGACTCATGGAGCGCCCAGACTGGGAGACGGCCATCCAGAAACCCTTGTGTAGCCTCCCAGCAGGCTCTGGCAACGCTCTGGCAGCTTCCTTGAACCACTACGCTGGGTGAGAGCCCAGGGCCAGAGTGGGCCTCCATTTCCCCCGGGGTGCCCACTTCTGCCAGGTTTTCTTTTCTAAGTTCCCATATACAGGAGTAACGTCCACTTCACCTTTATCCCTCCAGGCTGGCTGTCAGTTCTGGGGCCTGCTCCTGGTGGGCCAAGCTGGCTGCATTCACCTGTTCTCTGTCACTGCCCCTGCTAACTCTCTAGGGAGTGTGTGTTGCTGTGCCTGCAGGCAAAAGGGAGGAGGAAGGGAAGGATGCACGGGGTTCCTCCCCTGCCCCATCAGACCCTTTCCCCTGCAGCTATGAGCAGGTGACTAATGAGGACCTCCTGACCAACTGCACGCAGCTGCTGTGCCAACGGCTCCTGTCACCTATGAACCTGCTGTCTTTGCACACCGCCTCGGGGCTGCGCCTCTTCTCTGTGCTCAGCCTGGCCTGGGGCTTCATTGCTGATGTGGACCTGGAAAGTGAGAAGTACCGGCGCTTGGGGGAGATGCGCTTCACTCTGGGGACCTTCCTGCGCCTGGCAGCCCTGCGCACCTACCGGGGGCAACTGGCCTATCTCCCCGCAGGAAGTGCTGTTTCTAAGATGCCCACCTCCCCTGCTCTAATGCAGCAGGGCCCTGTGGACGCACACCTTGTTCCCCTGGAGGAGCCAGTGCCCTCTCACTGGACCGTGGTGCCCCATCAGGACTTTGTACTGGTGCTGGCGCTGCTGCACACCCACCTGGGCAGTGAGATGTTTGCTGCACCCATGGGCCGCTGTGCAGCTGGTGTCATGCATCTGTTCTACGTGAGAGCAGGGGTGTCCAGGACCATGCTGCTGCGCCTCTTCCTGGCCATGGAGAAGGGCAAGCACATGGAGTATGACTGTCCCTACTTGGTGCATGTGCCTGTGGTTGCCTTCCGCCTGGAGCCTAAGGATGGGAGGGGTGTGTTTGCTGTGGATGGGGAGTTGATGGTCAGTGAGGCTGTGCAGGGCCAAGTGCACCCAGACTACTTCTGGATGGTCAGTGGTGGCTGCAGGGGTCCCCCACCCAGCCAGGAACCCCAGCAGATGCCACCTCCAGAAGAGCCTTTATGACCCCACGGGCTTGCTGTGCCTTTGTCTGCTGCGTGTAGGCTGAGCTTGGGACCCTGTCCTTCCCCCAGGACAGGGGACCTCTCCACAGCTTCTGGGGGTGATGGGGCCTCCTCTGGAAAAAGGTAGGAAGGTGGTAGAAGCTAGGCTTTGGGAAGTTCAGGCTCTACCCACCACAGGTCAGAACAAGGCCATAGGCAGGAGCCCTGCTGGCTGGGCCAGTTGTCTGTGGAAGGTATTTCTGTTTATTCTGGAAGCCTTGTCCCATGAATCAAATTCAAATAAAAGTGACATTCTTAGCCTGCTAGTCCTGTCCTGGGGACAGGGAGGGAATGGGGTCTTGCTCCGCCCAAGGCTACGTAATTTAATGTTAACGATGCCTAATGGCAATCCCTGGATTGGATAGCACATGGCACGGCCACCTTGGCGATGGGCACACAATAGACCACCCTCAGCCTCAGAGCTTGCAGATCACCTGACCTCACAACTGGGAAGATGGAGACTCCTAGCTCCAGCCTCTTGACTGTGGGCCACACAAGCAGCTGGTCAGCAAATGTGGCTGGACCCTTTTGTGGGTTTCACAGGAAAGGAAAAGCTCTTGTTGAAGGCATGGGGGAAACTCCAGGGAACAAGACACAAGGCACCCCGGAGGGGCTCAGCGCCCAGCCTTACTCAGCAGCCTCTGCCCTTCCCCACTGGTCCTCCTACAGGAGTGCTGGGTGGGGGTTAAAGGGAAGAAGCAGGGAGGAGCAGATACCAATCTCTCAGCTGGGCAACCATTTTGGCTTGCAGCCCAGGAGAATGACACCTGCCTGCCACCAGATGCTGTGATGTCAGCTCTCCCAGAACTGGAAGGAGCTGAAAGGGCCAGCTGGAGGCTGTTGGGGACCACAGCTGCTCAGAGGCAGACACTGCTGCTGAGAACTGGCTCTTGAGGAACACCACACAGGCCAGGTACAGAGCCCAGCTCCAAGGCAGGAGGAAGCCCCACTGAACAGGCCCCGCCTCCCAGCTGTGGCTCCTACCACTGGAGAGGCCAAGGGCCTTTGGGCAGAGGGAGCCAGGACCTGCTGCCACAGCCTTCCCTTCCAGGGAGGTAGCGTGTGAGGGACACTGGCCCGTGAGGAAGAAAGGCAACGGAGCTCAGATGAATGGCAGAGGCAGGTTTAATGGTGTCACCTTGTCTTGTTAATGAGCCAAACAAACAAACAAAAAAAAAATGCAAGTAAAAAAAAAAAGTTTAATCACACAGCACTTTATACAGATATTGTAAGCAGTGGGCATTCACATCTCCACACAACTCCACAGGGAGCTGCAGCCCCACCAGACACTTGATGTTCTGAAGACACCAGTGAGTGCCTGAGTGTGGCCCAGCTCCGCCATTCCCATGGCTCTGCTGCCTGGGTGGTCCTCACAGCACAGGCGTGGAGCCCACTTAAGGCTGACAAGACGCATCATGCTTTGGCTTTTTTTTTTTTTTGTCTTTTTTTTCTAATAAGAGTTAATATCTTTTGCTTTTGAGATTTATTTTTCCAACCTTAAATATTACATACATACACCAGAAATTACATAGCTGCAATGTGCTCAACAGCATCCTCTGAACCTGGAGCTTCACATTATCAAAAGCTTAGAAAACTTGTAAACCTCTGGGCCCGTCGCAGGAGGGGACTGAGCGCTGCTGCTGCCTCCCTCCTCCCTCTGGACTGCGCCTGCAGAGTTTCTAAGTGGGGGCTGACGGAGGCCTAGATCTCATCCCAGAGAGGCTCCTGCCACCAGATGGGGCGAGGCCCCGCACCTGCCCTGCAGCTCCTGCCCGCTCACTGGCGTGAGGTTGGAAGGCCAGCAGGTGTCACTGCAGTCCCCACAGGTGGACCTGGGCCTGAGCTGCTGGTGCCCCCACCAGCCACAGACAGGAAGCACAAGGCACCTACAGCTCTTTGTTCTCCACCAGCTCCCTGTCCTCAACTCCATGTTGGTGCATGAGGCCACCTCCTCTCCCAGGCATCACCCTGAACCTAGCCTGTCCCAACCTCTCTTAGAGAGCAAGTTCAACAGGCCTAAAGGCTCTTATGTGGCCAACGGGCCGGGCTGGGAGTCAGCAACAGCGCTTCAGTTCCTGTGGGATGGTGTCAACGCTAGGGGACGAGGGGCATATCCAGTGGCGGTGGCAGCAGGAGGAGGGTCTGGGACATGGGGAGGCTACAGTCCAATTGAAGAGGTTGAAAGGGACCGGGGACATTGCAGGAGCAGCCCACACTTCATGCAAGGCACATCCACTCTCCTGCCCCGCTGCAGGGTCCCCTGGCCCTGGAACACCCCGCCTCTGGAACACCTGAGAAGGGAGACATTCTGCCTGGGCAATATGTGGAAAATCGCAACAAGGTCCCGATTTCCTTGCCACAGGGGACCTGCCCATGTATCGCTTCAGAACAGAAACGCAGCGTTTTGGGGCACTCCTTACACTCAGCATCAAACTTGCCTTGGGGAGCGGAGGGTTGAGGGGCTCACACGGGGGCCAGGAGGGGAGGTTCCAGGGGAGGGAGTGAGCAGGCAGCAGCTGGCTCTCCCATGGTGATGCTCCTTCCTTGGGGCTGGTGGCTACTTGTCCTCCGTGTGCTCGGGCATGCCTGCCTCCAGCAGGGCGGCCCGGAACTGCGCCAGGACRCCCCGGATGCTCTTGATGAAACCCTTAGAGAGTGGGAAGAGCGGGAAGCCGATGTCAGGGTAGCCACTCTTCTCAGGCAAGAAGCTCCGGTAGCTCTTCCTCCGCTTCTTTGGTTTGACGCTGGGTGGCACTGATGCGTCAGGCGCTGTCTCCGAAACCTGGTCTGTGTGGTCCCTGCTAGTTGAGGCAGGGCACTGGGCACCGCCCTCCGAGTCTGAGCCCTGGGAGGCCTCTCCAGGGGCCAGCCCAGAATCCTCAGGTTCTTCACGGCCGGAGTCTGAGAGCTCAGCTGCAGCAGGAGGTTCTGGAGAGCCACTGTCCTTGGGGATGCCATTGGGCAGTGCCTGGGCCCTCTCCAGCAGGGCATGGGTTTCTAGCCAGGACTCCATGCGGTTCACAAGCCGCCAGCCACCAGTGCTGAAGTGCTGCCGGATCTCCTGCTCAAAGACCTCCGGGGGCCGTCGCACCAGCTGGGTCATAGACTGCACCACCCGGATCAGCGCCATCTCGTTGTAGCAGCGGCTGTTCTCGTAGCCTTCCTGCAGGCCCCGGTCACTGTCGAAGCCAGCTTCGTTGTAGTATGGCTCATTCACCAGGATCAGACCTGCAGTGGGCAGGGTCACCCATCAGGCCAAGCCTGGCCACTACCCGCAAGGAGCGGGCCAGTGGGCCACCTTCCACCACTCCCTGTCCACTGCCCAGCCCAACCGCACCTTGAATGGAGATGAGCACCTGGAGAAGACTGGATTTGCTCGTCCACCTCTCTGTCCCCTGAAACACACACAGCACCATGGAGTCTGTCTCCGACACCTGCTCCCATTCTCCCTGCACCTCCACTGGGATGCCGGCACAGCACTCACCTTTCCAATCCAGGTGCCCAGGAGGCTGACACACACCTTCCCATTGTCGTACAGGTTGGGGTTCAGGCGTCCACTGCACTGGGAGAGGTAGCAGAAGTGGGGGGGCACGGCTGGGTAGATGTTGGGGAGCTGAATGTCAAACAGGTAGAGGCCATCCTCATAGGGGGTTCGGGTGGGGCCCTTGATTAGGGCTGAGAAGAGGTCCTAGGAGGGAGGGAGGGAGGGAGGGCCAAGGTTGGCACAGAGGCTCTGGCTTCCCTCCTCCAGGGCCACGTGCAGATCCAGGGAGGAGCAGCACTCCAGCTGTGCAGGCACATGCCCTGGGGTGGGGGTCTCATTTCCAAGAGGATGGGTCTGAACTCCAGAGTAAATGCTGGGAGACCCCACAGAAGCTAGGTGCCAAATCCTGAGGGTGTGTGTGTGTATCAACTGCCCAGGTCCATGATGTGGGTGAGTGAGGAGCAGGAAGGCAGAGAGGGTGAGGTCCCCTAACTGGAGTAACGGGATCCTCTCAGGCACAATCTGATCTGTGCACCCTGCCAGCTTCTGAGATTTGGGAAAAGCACCACCAACTAGTGCTCCCTTATTCCCTTAGCAGAGCTGAGACTGGAATTTTCTAAAGGAATTTTACCTAAACTCAGGAACAATAAAAGTGTTACTAAAATCTCAAGTCGCACCGAGCCTTGCTCCGCTGCTGCCGGCCAGCATGGGCCTGTGTGAACAGGGCTCCTCCTTCTAACTCTTCAGCTCCCTGCTCCTTTGTTCTATGGCCCTTCTGGTCTAGGACAGGGCGCAAGCTGGGGCCTCCGACTCACAGTCAGTGTCTAGCACAGTGCCTGGCTCATGGTGGAGGCCCAGTCCTTACAAGTCTCTCAACAGGACTCAAATGCCAGGGCCGTCCAGGAGCAGAAGTAAGGCACGGAAGGCATAGAACAGAAGGCACATGCTGGGTCAGCTGAACCACGGGGTCAATCCCAAGAACCACGGGCTAAGAGAAGGGACCTGGCTCCGGGGCTTTAGGACGCACCACTCTGTGTGAACATGTCGTACCAGACACTGTTTACAGTGGCAATGCACAAGAATTACACATGTTCAAAAGAGGTTGTGGGAGATTGGCTGAGGTTCAACCTCCAGGAGTAGGAAAGGCCTAGGACCTGGGGGAAAGGAGGTGAGGACTGGTCCCTGGCAACTTTAGCTTCTCTGTAATATTCGGAGTCTTCAGAAAGAAGAGTAGACTCAGGAAATTGTATGAATTTCTAGCTAATTTTTTAAAGAAAGAAGGAAAGAATGAACCACCTGGTCTAGACCTCTCTGGCTGATGACTCTGTGTCAGAGCTCACCTGACTGAGCTGTCACCTCCCCTGTAAAAGAAGGTGGGTAGCCCTGGAGGTGCTGGCACCCAAGGCTGGGCACTAAGTGCCTACATGGCCCACCTGTGCTGGCCCATGCCAAGCCCGTGCTAGCCCACTTGCCATTCTGTCCTCGAAAGTCTTGACCATGATGCCATCGGGAAGGGAGGTAGCCAGCAGCGCCATTTCCTTCCGTACAGTGCTGAAAAACTTCTTGGCTTCTGGAGGCTGGAACTCAATTTTCTTAAAAGAGTGATTTGCTGCAGGGGAAAGAGAACAGTCTCAGGGGAGGCCTGGCACCTCCTGCTGCACACCTGGCCGCTGCCTCGGGCAGTG